TTAATACTTTGGGCAGAAAACAAAACGGTGGAAAAAATTATTGTAAAAAATTTTAAGTTGTTTTGACAACTGAGCATAGAGAAAAGACCATCAACTGCCAAATATGGGTCTATGATTTTTTCTCTCTCCAACTGAAGGCAAAGGCCACAGTCAAACAGACAGCCACTGCATTCGAGACGAGATAACGTATCAACTCAAACCCATATAACTATGCTCGCCGTAAGCGGAGGGAAAGAGAATACCTACCTAAATCAGCGAGGAAATTAAATTTCGAGTAAAATTCAAAACCGAGTAAAAAAAACGCCCGATTGAGAATTCAAATCGATATGGGAAAAAATAATTCAAAATTCAACAACTGGCAAACTCCATCCACCCATCCACACGCACCAACAGAGATCCACTTCCTTCTTTTTTTTTTATAAGTGTCAAGTAGATTTTTGATTCGAATGAAAAAAAAAGCAACTATTCCTTCAATGCTACCAACCCAATCAATGATGTTTGACAGCTACGTTGACGTAAGCGGTTCGCTATCATAGACAACACAGCTGTCCTACGTGTGTCAGTAATATGAGTGTTAGTGTCACGCCCTGTTTAAAAACAAACACTACAATGTATCTACAGTATTTATATTCTATCCGTTACTCTAGTATCCCATAACACAAGCCTTACAAAGCTTACTTTGGGGCTAGGCTGATTGGCATAAGTAAAAAAAAAGTGGACTGCGTGGATTCGTTTGCCTTCATATGCATAAAAAAAACTTTAATATAACTTTGAATCTAATTGACGTTTCTGTATTTAGTTATGATGTATTTAAAATCGAATGACGCTTTATAGGTAAACTCAATGGCGCAATGTCAACTCAGTGGTTAGTGCGTTCGATCTACAATCGTCGAAGTTATGCTTCTCGCAATCTCGAGCTCCAGAATGCATTGGTTTGCTTTCATTGATGAAAATTCCTTGTAACGACTTTTAATACAAGCATTTTTTATAGTGTTTCATCAAGAAATCCTTATTTTGCTCAGTAGACTTCACAGACAAACTGGAATTTTGGAATGAAGTTCTTTAATTCGGAAGGTTATAGACTTGGCGGATGGGGGTCGCCTAGCCCAAATCCAAAAAAAAAGCGAAAGATTTTTCTATTACTACCGTCAGGTGTTTCGAAGCGCATTGTGTGCAGATACTTATTTATAATAATGTTAATTTTTAACTTCGTTCCAGACAGTCCAGTTTGGTTTTTGATGTTTTGAAAAAGGCTTGCGTCCAAAATTCGGCATACCTTAGTGGTACATATATTTAAAACACCAAAACATAACTAACTTTAACATAACATATAAACACAACATAAATATAGCCATGGTATATAGGTTTATACGATACCCAACATTATCCTGTTACAAAGTACAAACATTTTAAATTATGCATAATAGAACATCTGAACCTGTCTGCATGAGACAAACATAGTTGCCGTTGTCAGGAATGTTTAAGCTCAGAGTAGGTTACGTGTTGCAATAGTTTAAGCATCAATTCCACTTGCAACGAGAAAGCGAGTAAAGAGAGACTAAATTTAATCGTGACAAAAGGTATAACTCGTATAACTACTTTTTACACGATTGAATTTAAACTGAAAGTGATAATAAAACTTAAGATTGTCAAAATATGCAAAGATATTACTGAAATACATATATCATTATGTACAGAAAATCAATAATATTTAAATACAAATTTCTTTAACCTACTTATAAATAACATCTTATTTACAAAATAAAAAATAAGTCACCCGCAGCGCCGCGGTTAGGGATGGTGACCAATAGGCTAGCAGCATTGCCACGTTGAATGGCAAGGCTGATCCGCTGACCAAGATAGCTGCCAGCCTTTTGATCAACCAGTAACTTCGGTGAGTCTCTTTGATATTTCCTTAAAAAAGGAACAAGCGCTTGGACGCCATGGGCCCATGGTCTCAACACCAAACGGTAAATTATAAAGTAAGAGTTAATTTTATTGAGTCATGGTAATTTACTTTACCTTACATTATGTCAAGTGTAAGTGAAGTCCAACGAATTAGAAGTGATATGGAAGCATTATTCTCTAAAAAAGGCTGCTAAAACATGTTTCCAAACTCATACAACTACACTTCAATACTAACACGACACACACAGAGACAAAACAAAATACTTTGACAAATCAAATATCTGCAAATGAATTCGCCTAGCCATTCATTGGGCAGGATATCGTTAAACAAAAAAACCAATCCCGTGATTGGTTGGAATCTCATTTTTTTTCGTCCCGCCCATTAGTTTGCTGTTTGCGTGGAACTAATTTTTAGCGCAATTGAAGTGACAGTGTTCCTGTCAGTTTGCTGGTCGAAACCCTATATCTTACCCCATAAAGCCGGAAAATTGAGTCTTAACTGACTGCGAACCTAGTGCAGATAGCAATATTCAAACAACTGGCAGATTCATCTGAAAACGAATACGAACAAAGAAATTTGGTGACTCATTTCTTTGTCGTACTATACTATTCGCAAGTGGAATTCTTTTCCCGCGAACGTTTTCCTACAATCTGGGGTCCTTTAAGAGCGGCGTGAAGAAGCATTTCCGCAGGCCACAAAGGTGAGGATGGTTGGAGTGGTAGTTTATAACTGCTGTGCCAGCTATCTTTGCGTCTGTATACTATCACCACTTAACATTAGTTGGGGTAGAGTCATTTATCTACCTAGCTATAAAAAACGGCTTATAATGCCCTGCAAAGCACGAAATATTTCGGTGTTGAATAGTTGTAACTCACCCATCCAACGACCTAACTTTTTAAAAGCTGCTTAGCTGCTTACAATCACAAATCAAACGTGCCAACCATTGACTTGTTAAACTCTTCAGATCTAGGTAAATTATATAAGTAATAAAAGGTAATAAGTGGAAACATTGATTTCCCATACTTTCCACCCCCCTTTTCAGCCCTTTAAAGGATGATATATTGGAATAATAATAATCCTATGTCCTTGCTCGGGACTCAAACTATCTATATATTAAATTTCATCTAAATCAGTTTAGTAGTTTAAGCGTAAAGTGGTCATAACAGGCAGACAGATCACTTTCGCATTTATAATATTACTAGTAGGTGCCCCTGACTTTGTTTGCGTGAAAAAAATACTTTCCCATAAAAAACCCCTTTTCACCCCCCTAAAAAGTGATTTCTAGATAAAAAATATTCTATGTTCTTTCCCGGAACTCAAAATATACATATACCCCATCTAAATCGTGAAGAAAGCGGTTACAGACTTTCTCATTTATTATATTTATTAGTATGAAGTATAAACCATTGCATTATTGAACTCTTCAGCTCTAGGTATAATAGCTTCTCGCTTATTTTTAGCAGTGGAAAGCATACCTTACAGCTACTAACACTAAAGCTCAAGAAAGTACGTACTAAGATAAGCTGCTTACAGTGCTACACGAGTAAATCAGTTGCAGACTGTTGCTAACACTATTTAGATAATACTGAACATAGATAGAAATGGTTCCCGAAATGTTGGTTTGTGTTATATTTCGTCCATTTGGGAAGGCAACACAAACCAAGGATTTTGAGATATCACAGTCACACGACTTTGATATCTCAAAATCCTTGATCATAATTTTCACCATCAGCTCATTAATGTCCCCACTGATGGGACACAGGCCTTCTCTATGGATGGAATAGGGAGATTGTACCATGTACCACCACACGGCCTAAGTGCGGATTGGTGCGTGCTAACGACTGCAGATGCCGCCGTATCAGGGCTTAACGTGCCTTAGTAAATTTTTGTTTGGATAGGTGCAATCGACCGACCACTGCAAAAGTTGCTTAACTTCAAAGATCGCAGTTGAACGCGCTAACCACTTGCGCCATCATTCTCCTCCATCTATGTTTAAAATCGTAAAATTAAGGTTATTGAGCACGTAGGCACTCTAAGGTATTTCTGGATCTGAATGTGAGAACAAAAATACTTATTTTTCGTTCAAAAAATCTATGAGATTTGACAGCGGAGGCTGCTATTAGAGAATACGACTATTCACGGTTATGGAGCTGGGCAAACTTTTTCCTTATCGTGCCAACATTTACTTTCATAAACCTATGGCGGGCCACCTACGAATTGCACCCTAGAATTTGAAAATTACGACAAATCAAATCAAAATACAGCTCAGTAACGAATGCCCCACACCCTAAAACCCCCTTAACCTACAACCTCCAAATACGCACCGCATTCCACGTTTCTGCTGCAAAGTAAATAACTAATAACATATACGGCAGCGGAGTCGTCCTTTTCGGAACATGTAAAAAAAAACATTTTCTTGAGAACCCTTTTTTGTTTGATGGTCCCGGGCCGGATTTCAATGGCCGCCGGGCCGTAGTCTGCTGTATACCCTATTTGTCAGTTACGTATTAATCTTTGATATCGGCAGTAGGCACAGGATGCGTTATGCTTTATCTACAGGTGGAACAATTTCGCAACAATGAGTATTGTTCGCATTTTATGAGCTCACAACGGAAAATTGCTTTTTATAAGAGCGCGCCGCAGCTCGCCTGAAAAACTGAGCAGGTGTGCGCTTGGTAGGAAACGACGCGAGTGTAAGAATTGTTCTCAAATAAAATATTTGCCGTGTTTCCGAATCGGACCTATACAAATACAAATACGTACTTGGGTAAGAAAAATAGTAATTAACTAAAATAAAGAAAAAAAAACTAAAGATTTTTTTTTACAAGAAAAATATCCACGCGGTCTATGCATCCGACGGGTCTCGAATCCGCAGCCTCCGCATCCGGGCGGATGCATTATGGATATAGAATAGCAGAGGGTGCGGTTTCGAGTCCCGTCTGCTGCCTGGACTCAGTGGATTTTTTTCTAGTGAATACTTTCTTGAGATTTAAATAAGCCTTAAAAAGTATAAAAAACCAGTAAGTATTCTAAGTAAGCTTTATGCCCGTGACATATACTAAAATGATAATTTGTGCTTTTTTTTAGAAAAATGTATTTGTTGAGAGCTATTGCACTGTGCGTGTTCCCATTGGCGATGGCTTTTCACAACCACGGTTCCTCGGGTACTCTCGTCGATTTTTCTGACCCCAAAGTAAGTAAAAACATACATTTATACCGTGTATTGTATACCTTTCGATGATTAAGGTTTCCAGGGATTTATGGGAGCTCATAGGATAAAATTATTGTCTAAGCCTGACGATTGAGGCGCTGTATACTGATATACAGGCTGATAAACCTAGTTTGGCAGCAGATGATAACGATTGCAGTTTAAACTTGTAAGCTTATTGTGGTGACTGTAGTTTATAAGACATAATGTCATTTCATCATTATGTGCCTATTAATGTCCCCACTGCTGGGGCACAAGCCTTTCCTGTGGATGGATTGGTTAGCCATCCAATGACCTTCTCAAACTTCCTCCCATAACATCTATTGATAAGACATCACTATGGCCATGGGAAAGAAGATGCTGTCGTCTTCCTTTCGTTCTAATAAATTTCCCCACTAGAGAAATCTAGTAAATTATGCCTGACGATTTTTTACACAGGTGCAGGGTCACTTGGACGCCCTGGTACGCCTGGCGCAGTCGTGCGTGATCAAAGTGCGCGCGACCCCGAAGGATGTACGAGCGTACTTCACCAACTCTGCTCCGGTTACCAGGTCGGGCCAGTGCTTCGCTGCTTGCATGCTGGAGCAGAGCGACATCATTAACCATGGCAAGGTAATCCCTTTAATCGTAGGGTAATGTGTAGGACATGTTTAGAACGAATTGAATTATAAAGAAGTCTTTCTCAAAATGTCGCCTTGTATCGCCAAAATATCGCGGAACTAAAGACGAAAGTCCATCCTACCTGTGATGACATACGGAGCCGAGATGTGGACACTGACGGTACGGCTGGTCCACAAATTCAAAGTCGCTCAGCGCGCTATGGAAAGGGCTCTGGAGTGGAGACCTCGTCTAGGCAAACGTAGTGTAGGACGTCCTTAGGCACGATGGACTGACGATTTGCGCAAAGTGGCTGGCAGAAGCTGGATGCGAGTAGCCCAAGATCGATCTGAGTGGCATGCAATTGGAGAGGCCTATCTCCAGCAGTGGACTATGATAGGCTGTTGATGAAAAGGCAGCGTTAAGAATCAGACAAAATTGAGGTATAACAGTGTCTGTTATGGAGGCGAGTTAGACCTAAGGAAGCGTTAAGAATCAGACGAAATTGAGGGATGATGAAACAGCTTAGGCGATTGCTGATTTGTCTTTTTTCTTCACGCACACATAGAAGTTACGATTATAGGTATTCGCGCGTCATGGTCACAACACTAACCTAACTAGTGTGAACCCACGATATTTATAATAAGCCTACGATTATTTTCGCAATGTTACTGAAGCGACTCGCGTTTTCTTTAAAATCCTTTCTTTTCAGTAAGATTGAGAAATGTTTTCTCAAATCTCTAGGATTTGTGTGAAAATTCGATATATCAAATCATCCTACCACACAAATATATCACACACTACAATGAAAGACAACTTATTTTGTACTAGTGGCCCGCCCTCGCTTGGCTTCGGGGTAGAATTGATCAAAATCCTTTCTTAGCGGATGCCTATATCATAACATCTACCTGCTATCACTATGTCAGTCAGTCACCTTTGAGTTTTATATATATATATAGAATCAATTCCCATTGCATGACAATTTATCTGGTGTTCGTATTAACCGAGGGCTGTGTCTCATGAGGCGCGATGAGAAATTGAAGTCTTCATACATTACTTAGGTATTTCAATTGTCGCTATAACATCAAACTTTCACCTCTAATAAATCTCCATATTATAATTTTTTTTGCAATCGCAACATTACAAATTTGACATAGTACCGTCGAATGCCACTTAATTCACTTCCGACTTCCAAGTCGCATGATACTGATTTTCCGTATTTTTGAATAGTTCATCTACAGTGTTACGAGTTTAATACAAAATATTTATTTTTATTAATTTCACGGAATAAAATAAAAAGCAGTCATAACCGCTGTTAAAAATAAACGTATAATTCATAATAACTGTTTATTTAATCTTTTGCCTTTTTTGTTTGTTAAAGATAAAAAAGTCGCGACAAATCGTCATCTTATCTGTATTTTAAAAAGATTGAGAAAAAAACTTGATAATATCTGACATACAATTGACAATTATTCTACCATTCGGCAACGCGTAACGTGTGGTCGAGACCGCTCGTTGACGTCGAGCTATTAAAAAATACAGAATTTAATATGTCGCTCCAAAAATTAGTATATATCGAGCGTTCGACGCAAGGCGAGTGATTCAAAAATAGAGCTCCAGAACCAATCTATTGGTGAAATCTCCACTTATCCGAACGATTATCATACTGAATAAAATTCATGAGATGAGTGATATATTCTCGAGCAACTTCAGTGATCTCGCAAAGCAAGTTTTATATGTAGTTAGTTATTGAAATGGATTAATTATTTTATATCAAAGCATGTATTGTATGTAATATTACATACAATACATGCTTTGTTATAAAATAATTAATCCTCTTCAATAACTAACTAACACACACGAACACAATATTACATGTATGTAATATTACAGTCAATTTAAAAAATAATAATAATCCTCTGCCAGTCCGAATACCACTTAGTCGCTTGAATTAAAATGTTTACGCTTTACAAAATAATTGTCTCAGCATATTTATTGCAACAAATTCCAACTTCTAAAGATGCTCCAAGTGTATAGAAGCAGCTAGACTATAACATTGTAGGAGCAGAAAGGAATTGTAATAATACACGGTACGTAGGTATCCTTGTTTGAATCGGCAAAATTACAGCGAATTTTCCACAAAGCGAATTAAATTAGAATCCGATTCACGACGAAGCCGATTTGAAAACCCTCAATTCCAATATTCAAGGTTTCCAAGAACGTACTTTGTTTTAATCTAAATTATATAGATGACGATTCGGTTTCAGGAAAAACAATAAAGATTTGGCCACACGATTGCATTTATCCTGATCCTATTGTTGGTTTGAAACGAGGTTTTATAATCAGTGGCGATAATAAACGTTTTATAAAAAAATGTGTGCCCGCTACTTCGTTTGCATGGAAAAGTTGGTTTACCATACAAACTTTTTTCCCCTTATATGCTGATTTCTACAATAAAAACTATTCTAGGTATCTTCCCGGCACTTAAACTTTAAATAAATAAATAAAATAAATATTTCCAACACTCACACCAATTAGCCTAGCCCCAAAGTAAGCACTGTAAGGCTTGTGTTATGGGATACTAGGGTAACGGATCGAACACATGTACTGTACATATATAAGTATATTTATATAGAAATACATATTGAACATCCATGATTGGAGTTCAAATGCCCGTATTCACACAAAAACATCCCCCACCGGGATTCGAACCCGGGGACCACGCCGGGGACTCTCGAGTCGGCGACTCGATGAAACCCGGCGTATAAACCACTCGGCCACGGAGGTCGTCAACTATAACTATACAAATTTTAATCTAAATAAGTGCAGAGGTTTAAGCGTGAAAGTGTGAATAGGTAACCGACAGACAGAATCCATATTAATAATATTAGTATGGATTACTAGCTGAGTGTGTTGGAATGTCACACATGGGTCCCATGCCATTGTACAAAATTTAACACCACGATGATAACAAACCTCGAAAATTTGGTTTCTTGCATGAATTCTCTTTTAATTTTCATTATATTTTTCATTTGTCTATAATAAACCGCAATATTCTGTGACCGACGGATGCGTGGACGAACGCGGTCAGACCCTGATTATTATATACACGACAAGATAGAGAATTCCAAATAAACCACGCAGCGAAAACGGCTCATGTTACGCGCTATGTGTGCGTGACTCTAATGTCAGATTGTTTTAAAGGAGTCAGTGTGTGCGTGTGTGGCGACACGACAAGATAGAGAAATCCATATAAACCATGCAGCGAAAACGGCTCATGTTACGCGCAATGTGTGCGTGACTCTAATGTCAGATTGTTTTAAAGAAGTCAATGTGTGCGTGTGTGGCGACAAGACAAGATAGAGAAATCCAAATGAACCACGCAGCGAAAACGGCTCATGTTACGCGCAATGTGTGCGTGACTCTAATGTCAGATTGTTTTAAAGGAGTCAATGTGTGCGTGTGTGGCGACACGACAAGATAGAGAAATCCAAATAAACCACGCAGCGAAAACGGCTCATGTTACGCGCAATGTTTGCGTGACTCTAATGTCAGATTGTTTTAAAGAAGTCAATGTATTCGTGTGTAGCGACAAGACAAGATAGAGAAATCCATATAAACCATGCAGCGAAAACGGCTCATGTTACGCGCAATGTGTGCGTGACTCTAATGTCAGATTGTTTTAAAGAAGTCAATGTGTGCGTGTGCGGCGACACGACAAGATAGAGAAATCCAAATGAACCACGCAGCGAAAACGGCTCATGTAACGCGCAATGTGTGCGTTACTCTAATGTCAGATTGTTTTAAAGAAGTCAATGTGTGCGTGTGTGGCGACACGACAAGATAGAGAAATCCAAATAAACTACGAAGCGAAAACGGCTCATGTTACGCGCAATATGTGCATGACTCCAATGTCAGATTGTTTTAAAGAAGTCAATGTGTGCGTGTGTGGCGACGAACGTATGTACCATATGTAGTAGATATTTTTTTCAGCGCTTCCATGCAACTGATATGGTATCTGGGCGTGTATATCTGCCGTCTTCAAACTAAAATGCGGCTAAATGACAATGCCATCTTTTGAGATATGGCCAAAAAACTGCGCGTAAACTTTAAATTATTGCTATTTTGTAACCATTCATCACATGACGGATTTTAGACTTAAACTATAAAGGATACAAATGCTTGTTGAAGACATCTGTCTTTAACAAGCATTTGTAATTTTTAATTCACTCGATAGTGAATTAAAAATTGTATAAGATGAAATTTAAGACTGAAAAGTCGACTACATGTCACTTAGTCGCACTTTAGTTTGAGGACGGCAGATATAATCAAAGGGCAAACTCTGCCAAAGGTCTCGGTTATCCTAAAGGTATAGCTTTAATCTTCATGGAAATCACATATATTTTTGACTCTCGACCAAATGAAAACGTTTGATCTCCTTTTTTCTATTAATTTTAATGGCAGAACACTCATCAAACTAATATTTTGTAAACACTCTGATTTTAACTGTGTTTGATATGCAAACCAACAATCGTTCTATCGCTATGTGAATCGCGATTGGATTGACGATTTGATTTTGGATTGGCTAGTTGGACTTTCCCACCGAGGGTTCCGTAAATGGTACAATAAAATTTGAAAAATATTTTTAGGGTAGCTCCCTTACATGTAACCTTGGGATGATATTTTTTTTAATCGTCTACCACATCTTGTGTTTTATCGTTGAATAGGTCCTTCAAAATTACTAAGAGGTTCCTAAGATGTTTATTTAAAGGATTATTTTTGATTCAGGGATCTATTTGCGAAATATCGAACTTTAAAGTGAAAATTATTGTTCGAGTAGCCCCCCCCCCCCCCCCAAAGCTAAACCATGGGCTTGAAAAACTAAGCAAGAATCATGATAATAGTGCCTTTCATGTACTTTTAAGGAAAACTTTAACGGTTAAGATAGATTTGTTAGTTTAGGAGAAAAAGTCGTTGAACTTTGATTAAAAATAAAATCTTATATATCGAAAATTCATTAGAAGAAAATATTAATAGTGACATAGATGAAGTTATTATAGCGTAAAACCTTGCATTGCAACAAAAACTAAAAAAAACTATTTAAAACCCCCAATAAATTAACATTACTTCTACAACGCCAACGCTACCGCGAGTAGCAACGGTAACGGCTTCTGAGTCGTGCTAACGACGTTACCTAACGGTACGTTTTTATAAAATGTATATAAGCACTTGAAAAGATCGGCGGTTATACCGCATCATCCCCTTCTCAGGGGATGATCGCTTCAGGTGAAGTTTGTAAGGCCCTTCTGGCCATAAGAATGAACTATGGTTGTGTTTTAGTCAGTAAGAGTCTGACATAACCTTGCAGACGGCTGTACGGTATCCATTGTAACGACATGCAACATTTCAAATCAATATATCTCTGTAATGGTTTTGAATAGGTATGTGAATAAAGAAAAAATGCTTTTAGATAATCTACCTGATGATAAACGAAGAAAAAAAGTTTGTGTTGTTTGCCAAAAAATATCCAAAATAACTAAAATTAAGCCAAAACCTAAGCAAACTGTAATCTTTTTCAAATTACAATCAATATATAATACTTGTACATACCAAAATATGGTCCAGCGACACACGTCCTAATGTAGATATTGATTGTATTTTGACAGTCAATATCTACGTACGTCATCATCATCATTAGCCTATTAATGTCCCCACTGCTGGGGCACAGGCCTTCCCTATGGATGAAATTAGGGAGATTGGACCATGACCCACCACGCGGACCAGTGCGGATTGGCGGGTGCTAATGACTGTAGATGCAGCCAGGTCCAACAGCTTAACGTGACGGAAGAACTCGAGATAGAAAATGTTTGGTTGCCCATCCGATGACCGACCACTGTGAAAGTTGCTTAACTTCAACGATTGCAGTCGAACGCGCTAACCACCTGCGCCATCGAGCTCCTCTACACACGTAGGTAACCTAAATCCCAAAATTTGGTCCATCGTTTCAACCGTTAAAAAAACAAATATCAGACAAAAGCTTTCACTTTTATTAATATATGATGGATTCAGTCTAGACTGTTACTACAAGTACTTTTGAAAGCCAAACCGCTGTAGCGGTTGTTCTACGGGCAGAAACCGTACAACCTTTTCCAATAAAAAAGTTTCAGTCAGATCATAATATCCAATAACCTCTAAAATTATGTTGAGCTATTTTTAGGGTTCCATACCCAAAGGGTAGAAACGGCACCCTATTACGTAGACTCCACTGTCCGTATGTCTCTCTATTAGTTGAAGTTTTCATAGATGATGTACTTTTGTTGGCGCTACAACAAGCAAATTATAAAATCAGATTAAAAATATATATAAATAAACATATGACATATAACAAACAATAACATATAATAAATATATAAGAAACGCGTTTTTTTTGCCGTTGCATGCTCTATATTAAGAACGGCAATAGGTAGACGCTTAAAGTCACAGAATATTTGTATTCACGAAATATTTAGTTGTATATTGACTTTCAAAATAAATAAAATTAAAATAAATATATAAGGCAGGCAACATACAACGGACATGTTTTTTTTATTTTATTTTTCTCAATATTATAATTTTAGTATCTAATGTTGTATAGATAATTTTAGGGAATGACCAGTGTAAATATATTGGTGATTTTGAGTTTCAAAACTATTGAAATACCATTGGTATATACGATTATTACTTTATCTGAACAGAATCGACCCCAAACGGCCCGTCCGCTCGTCTGCCCTCAAATGAAATAGTAAAATCCTATGCCATACTATGCTATGCTAACGCATTTCCTACACCTAGTAAATTACTATGCCAGACTATACTACGGTTAAGGTTACGGGCTAGTGCGAAATATTTATACACGTTAAGGGCAGTTTCATAACCATGTCCTTTGTATGTGCAGTTCCGCGTACTTACGATGAAACTAATTCAAATTTCGAACGCTTATTTTAGCACATTTCAGTACAAAAGCCTAGTAGTTATAACCTTGTTATAACAATTTATATTCACTATTTACCTACATACTTTGATAAATGATATAACGCTTTCTAATTAAAGATACAGTACAAAAGTCTTTTCCATATAAAATTGCATGTATTGTATTATGCTTGCATTATTCGCTAAGTTGTCAGCTTCTATAGCATTTTCACACCACTGCTCCAAAATGGTGGATTACTTTTTTTTCGACCACTTGGACATCAATCAATCAATCATTTATTTTTCAAATAAAAGGACTGGAAGCTTAGAACAAGAACTAAAGCAGGAAAAGAAAACAAGGTTGAAAAAAGCCTATTAGGTATTTATTTGAATAAAACCTTGTTTTTTTTTTTGTAAATATGAAGTCATAAACCAAAAAATGTATACACACAAAATTTCATAAAAAACGTTCAAGCCGCTTCGTAGGTTTGTTACAAATGCTGTGACACGAGAATTTGTATTAGATCATAAGCTTGGAATAATAACATTTGGATACGATTTAAATAGATAAAACAGTAAATAAATAACTGAAGCTTGTCCATAAATAAGGTACTGCTACTACTACTACATACTGCTTACAGTATGTAGTTTAACTCAAAAACCTTCAGTATTGTGTTCTCTTTGTACTTATACAAAGAGAACACAATACTGAAGGTTTTTGAGTGGGTAGTCTATTAATGGTCTGTTCGCTAAAAGAGCTCTTCTAAGAATAATTTTGTATAGAGAGGATTAAAATGAAACTGGAGGGCCAGCAGTTTAAACAACTTGAAATAGTTATTTAATGTATTGAAAAAAGAAAATCATTGCCCATAAAAATAATACCAAGAAAGTAGATGACAGAAAAATGCAGATCTATCTTTTTATTTTATTATTTACACTCTTAAGCCTTCACGAGTCAATGGTGTCAGCAATTGTCAAAGTAAGTATTCACTAAATATTTTTACAAAAAACTGTATAGTATCTGTGTAATTTTTGTACTATCTAAAAACACACATAGGGGTTTTTGTCTGGAAAAACTTAAAATATTTTACACGTTATAGCGAAGTGTAGCCGCGGCGAGAAGCGTGTATAGGGTTGCCACCCGTACTTTATTATATAAAGTTTTGTACGTTATTTCGGGTAATTGTACTCTATACTTTATGCCAAAAATAAAGTACGCGAAAATACTTTATTTTATGTGGTTTGATTACTCGGGCATTAACTTTGCATAAAATATACAAAAAGAGATTGATAGGAAGATTTTTTGCGTAAAACGGTCAGTGTGTATAATATGTCGCCCTTAGCTTATTCTTGCAACATTGTCGTGGCGTGAGGAAAAGAACTACAGATTTTTAGTAACTAAAAATTATTTATTTAAAGTTGCTAGAAGCAACGTAAAATATATTTTTAAGTTTACTAATACAGTGGAATAAAAAGTGCTTTATTTTGGACTCAATGTACTTTTTTTCTACTTTTAATTTCCAATGTACTTTATTTGGGCAAAAAAATGGCAACCCTAAGCGTGTATTACGTATCTTTAACTATAAAACAACATAGACTACACTACACTTTTTATTGAACCAAAATATTGGTTTGCTATTTGACATTAGTCGTGTTTATTTAAAAATAACGACAGCCTTAAACCTGCTCTTAAATTCTGGACATCAAGGTAAGGATTGATGTAGCGGCAGATTTTTCCTCCAACTGAACTTCGACTTATACTGGACTCCACTCTACACACCCTTTAAATTCAGTGTAAATTGCATGCAGCAATATCATTGTTAATTGGCACATAAAGATTATTTCCGTGAGTGCTAGACCAAAAGTAATCTTCTTAAGGCGCTTGTTAAGGACTGGTTTTCCGCAGGTCTAGGCACGCTGCTTGTTCAAGAGCACGGTTTGTTCGTTTGCATCAACCCTAAACCGTCGCTAGAGCAAGTGTCATTAACAAATCTCCATAGTGTTCCACACTTAACTGACGACCGGACGAAGAAACGGTTCAAAACCTTGCTTAGTAGACCCGGGTAGAAATCGTCTCTTCAACAAGAGCCATTACGCTGTTTGACCAAAATAGCATATCACAACGGGAATTGCGAAGTAAAAGCGACCTATACCGGCATTTGAATTTAAGCTTCCTCCTCTTTCCAGGTGAACAGAGAACTGCTGATACACCAGGCCAGTCTCGTAAACGGCAAGAACTCGCGTGTGGTCAGGAAGCTGAACAGCATCTCCCGCCTGTGCTTGGACAGCATCGAGGGCATGTCTGACAGATGCCAGCTGGCGTCGACGTACAACGACTGTTTGAACGAGAACATGCTGGAGTTCGCGTTCCCCCTGGACATAGCTGAAGAAGCCGTGAGGAAGATGCCCTTCCACCTGATACAGCCCAAGTGAGTAAAATTAACCGGATTTGAAATCTGAAAACAGATATGTATAATACTGCGCTGTACCCACAGACCTAGATTGAAGTTAGGGTTGCCAGATGCCCCCCCTCCCCCTGAAAAAATAAAGCATCAAATTAAACCCCCATCACCCCCCATAATTAAACATCAAGTAATCCAGCGGTGTCATTTGTTATTAGTTTATTTTGTTACGAAACTAGTTGGAATTATTGGAATCCGGGACAATAAGGTCTCAGCACTGGACACGGGACAAGACGCCAAATTCCAGTACAATCCCGGATTTCCTGGCCATTTGTCAAGCCAAATTGAAGTACACGCCGCATATATATCTGATTGTATGCAAAGTGGAAACCGAGTGTGTCAGATATTGAGTACTCGCAAGGAAAATTATAAAAACATTTGCCCCGACCACCTATTTCAATTATATCGTTTTTACTACTTCAGTAAACGTAGTAAGATATTTTTTTAACATTACGATTGACGTCTGGTATCGGGAATGGTAAAGCGAAAAAGTAAATTGGCGTTAAAGGGCTATTGGTCTTCCTTTTGGCATGCGAAGTATGTTTATACACTTGCGTTACCTATCAATTTCGTTCCTGTCTATTACGATTGACGTCTGGTATCGGGAATGGTAAAGCGAAAAAGTAAATTGGCGTTAAAGGGCTATTGGTCTTCCTTTTGGCATGCGAAGTATGTTTATACACTTGCGTTACCTATCAATTTCGTTCCTGTGGCTGTACCCATAGACATAAATTATGGACTGAGCGAGAGTTCCCTCCTGGCAGAAGCTTGTTGCACCGAAATACATTTGGCTAATCATAATCTTCTTTCAAAGATTATTTTTAACACATTTTTTGTAAATATAATTATTGTGTGGCCGAATATTTATATGTCTGTATGAATGTTTATATGAATTCACAATGGTATACTTAAGATCGCAGAATTTCATTAGGCATAATTAAATCCGTCAAAATCGGTGATGAAATTAACAGACAGAAGCAGTTAGTTACGGATTTATAATATTATTCACTTTAATGGAATAAATACGTAATGTTGTACTAACATATTCAGCATTTTAAAGTTATTTCAAAATTAAGGCCTTCTAAATATCATGTTTATAATTTAAGCGCTCATTTTAATGTAGCAGCTATCGGATTACATCCAAAAAAGGGACTTTGTAATCTGTCAGTTTCCTTAAACTAAAGAAAACCTTTATAAAGGAATATTATGATCGGAAAAACGGGATTATTTATACCTACTATACTGTATACTAACTGCGTTAAGATTTCATACTTACCAAGGCATAGTTTCCTTTTCATAAAATTACAAAGCGAGTTGAGTTTTGTTTGTAACAAATAAACAATTTGCGATCGAATATTTTTAAAGTTATGTTACCTACACCGAGAAGTTTCCGACTTATCGATCAAAAGAATGAGAGCTTTGGTTTTATTTTGAGTTAATTTTGTTTGCAAAAAATGAGGTAAACTAGCATATGGCCCGTCTCAGTAATAGACGATAAGAACCCTAAAATATTTTGATCATATACCTACTCTAACATTTTTGTGTTTCTGTCGGTGAGTAAGGTTCCAGGCAGGGTTACCAGGTCTCCCGATTTTACAGGAGATCTCCTGTTTTTCTGAAATTTATCCTGATCTTCTGTCATTCTACATGATCTACTGTTTTTTCTCAGAATATGATTTTCCTTTTTTCAATTGCTTACCATCAGGCGGGTTATTAATATATCAGGTGGGGCAGAGGTATTTGCCTACCTGGCTATATAAAAAAAGTGATTGTTTGCCGCCCTATTAACATAAAAAAGAACACTCAAGTACTGTACGATTATAAAGAACATGTATTTGAAACCATTATAGTTATAATACCAACAAAGGAATATCTACGGATATTACGACATTCATTGACTAAAGACGTAAATAGCTTGCCCTTAAGGTAGAACTGTTTCTCCCCAAAGGTTATAACGAGCTCAAACGATTAATAGCCTAACTTGGAAGAAATCGATTGACTTGTCGACAGGAGAACGTTTATCGGGAACAAAACATTTCAAAAGTCCAAATTCCAAAGCTTCGTTTTTGTACAAAAACATACAGAGGCTATTTTGCGTAACATACTATGTTTGCTCCACTCTATTTAATTACTTGTTTAGGTACCTAACTTTATTGATAACTAGAAAAATCTGTATCATATAGGTACCTTCATCGTAACGGAAAAGAGCACAAGTTTAAAGCAGAGTTTTATATCAGGTCCTGAGTCGCGAATTTTACTGGAAACTTTGAAATTCCACCTTTTTTTCATTTTGTGACTCCGTTGGCTGTCCTCTTAAGAAGCGAATCCGATTACCCAATTTACCTCTTTCAACAAAATTAAACCGAAGGACGGTAATAAAACGTTGTTATGCGTGCTTGCCCTACGAATCATCATTTATCAAGTAATTTCTGGATTCAGGGGAAAACGTGTGTGGGATAATCAAGTGCGGGAACAACATAATACTAGGATTATCATCCTCTCTATCTATTGACACACGTTGGAAAGAGACACGTGATGGTATTGCCGTTCATCTCTACGTGTGTAGCATAACTAGTTACAATAGGAATGGCCGAATAAACTTTTTGCACTCATATGATTTGTGACCGAATCAACTTTGTGTATTTCTTTTTGTGATTATATCTTGAAGTATGGAAGATTTTTGGACGTTCCTTTTCGGACGGCACGGACTTCGCAAAAGGGGGCTGGGCGTAAAAAAGATTAAGATTTTTCCGTCACAAGTCACAACCATCAGTTGTTTCGTAGCGTTTTGTATCACGACGTTCAAGCTTGCTTTTTGTTTTTATTTAAGTACTATCTGTGCCCCGCGGTGTTACCCGCGGTTTATTAGGGATATTTGTCCGCAGTAAAACTTAGCCTATGTGTTAATCTAGGGTATCAGCTAACTCCATACCAAATTTTATTAAAATCGCTATAGCCGTTTAGACGTGAAGAAGTAACAACCATACACATTCACACACAAAGTTTCGTCTTTATAATATTAGTGTGATATGTGATGCGTAAACTAACTACAAAATTATCGTATCATGGCAGAAACTTTAAAAGCATCGGATACCACAATCTTAAAGTGTAAATTTTCTCAAATAGCCAGCAAATGGATTACGCAACCTTTGACACCTACCTAAACAAATAACCGTTTAGTAAACTTATCTCTTAGCCCCAAATATAACACGGTTTTATTTCAAGGTATGCACAGGGACAAGATGTCCTTTTAAATTGGCACCATCTGGAAAGTCTTCAAGCGTATGGAAAACTTGATTAAGCCTCTGACGCTTTAATTACTATGCAGATTGAACGGTGAACCTCAATTTGAAGTCTTTAATCTAACATTACGTACCTATTTCATGATAGTTCGAACTCTAATATTGTAAAACCTTGTACATTTGCTTGCGATGAATTATTTTGCTTTAGATTATGGTTTTACCAATGTACCTTTAATTATTTCACTATATGAATTATGTATACCGTAGGATTATTTGATAAACTGAATTTGCAAGTAAACGCGGACAATTAGTCAATGACGGTGACGTTGCTCAATTTTATTGTTAACGAAATTCTGGCGCTTTTGCGAAAAATTCGATTTATCAAAACATTCTACGGCATGTACTCCGAAATAATAACAATATTTAGCTGTATTTGATAAAAAAAGGTATATTTAATTCGTAAACATTTAGGTTGTCTAAATCAAAATTTTCAGTACAATTTTTGTTTGATTAGATATATTTGTTTCTGTTTCAGTTTACCACAAGAAATGAGGACGTATTAAACGACGTTTTGAAGAGAAAATTGATATTTTAAATAAATTTTGATATTTTTTTACTTTATCAATAAAAAAAGTCATCAAGAACATACATTTTAATTTCTTTAAAAATTTTACTTTTTGACACGACTGTACCGTTCCAAAAGAATAAGCCTAATAGTCCAATGAGATAAGAGGTTCTATGTTGTATGAAGGTCCAGTGAGGACCATGTTCTTGGGCAACTTAGTCCTGTCATGTAGCTGACATGACGGCTGTCATGTGACTCGATGAAACGAGTAGGGCCATACCTTACGGAAAAACCAGACAATACCCCTGCACCTGTCCGCTGACACATAACAAGAGGACCACGGTCCCTGACATATGTGTCAACAAGGCGGGCAGTACATGGTACACCCCGAGGGAACTCTGCCGAGCGGAGTTATTCGGGATTCGTCCCCATTCGTTTCACCCAGCATGGTGACTCGATGAAACGAGTAGGGCAATACCTAACGGTAAAATGCAGACAATACTCCTGCACCTGTCCGCTGACACATAACAAGAGGACCACGGTCCCTGACATATGTGTCAACAAGGCGGGCAGTACATGGTACACCCCGAGGGGACAGGCCACACGCCCGCCGGTTATTCTCCGTTTCCAGACCCTACGCGATAGGCGGTTCCCCAAAGGGGTAAATATGCCCCTGGTGATAAACCAAACAATAATGACACTTTTGCTAGGAGGTTCTTGATGGTGCAGTGGTGAGTGTTTAGTCGGCGATAGTGGAAGTTAATTGACACCTCCGTGGCCGAGTGGTATTATACGCTGGGTTTCAAATGTCGTCGACTCAGCGGTCCCGGGTTCGAATCCCGGTGGGGCAAATATTTATATGATGAATACGAGCAAATTTGTACCTAAGTCATAGGCATGAAGATCTTACGAAACTTCTAGATATATATAGGTACTTATATATGTATCAGTAAAAAAAATAATACATTATACAGTAAAATGTATTTTTTTTACTCACAACAGTTAGCCTAACCCCAAAGTAAGCAGTGTTAGGTTTTTCTTAGGGGATGCTAGGGTAACGGATAGAATAAATATACGTGTAGATCGGATAATTAATAAAAATTCCCTTTTAAATTATAATTTCGTTTTATTTTTATTTTTACAACTTTACTTCCTTACGTTCTAATCCCGAATCCCATTCCATTCTCTCTATCTCAAAATGGCGCTTACACTCTTCTGTCTTTCTTCCTCATGCATACGTCTCGCTCAAACACTCTCTACGTTCCGATTCCCACATTCGGCCGTCCTGATCCATATCTGTCCCAGATATGCCACACAATCATTCTCTACAATATAAAGGCCTCTAATTAAATGAAAAACATGACAACTAAATTAAATATTTGAATTTAACAACCTTTAGAAAAGAAACACAACTTTTATCTAACTGCATTTTAACTAGATAACTAAAAGAAACAATACCAACTTAGTTTAACTTTTTTACATAAACGAATACTAACTTATCAATATTAAAAGAAAGGTATTTCCTACGTTTCTCCAACTCAAAGTGGCATGACAGAAAATAAAGGAATGCACGCCATGCAACAAAAGAAAACACTGTTAGTTAGTTATGGGTAACAAGTGTTAGTAACCTTTAAATGAAAATGTATGATCAGTCTTTGAGATCCTCAGTATCATATTCTGGCCATCTCTTCATCTGGTCAGCTGAGCTGGATGTTTTTTTTTGGCCCTCCTGTGATGTATCCGTTTTTTCTACGTCATAGCGGTCGTTGCGATTACATCACCTTGTATGGACCAAGGTATTTAGGTTTCAACTTAAGACCTGAACCAAATTGAGTTCTCTTAATGGCTACCACATCACCTTCTTTGTACTTGTTACTTTCTTTCCTTTTCTTATTGTAGTTTCTCTTGTTTTCTTCCTGAATTTTCAGTATCTGCTCTTTAGCCTGTACTCTCAATTGTTCTCTATTTTCATTAAATTCTAATAAATTTTCGTCTTCCAATAATCTCAAAGTTTCTAAGTCTTCTTTATGTTTCATTTTCACACTCCTTCAACAGTTCAAACGGTGTCGTGTTTACACTCCTCTGATACGTGCTATTCATAGCTCTCTGAACACTACTCACGTGCTTATACCATACATTGGGCTTATCAATACACATTTTTGTCAAAATTGGCAAGATTACCCCGTGCACTCTCTCGGCCTGTCCATTACCTCGCGGCACACCTGTTGTAATCTTCACATGACAGATATTCTCTTCATTACAGTATTTTGCAAACTCGTTACCTGTGAAAGCTGTCCCTCTGTCAGTTATAAATCTGCAAGGATTTCCAAAAATCTGCTGGTGTATACGGAGCTTACTTAATGTTTCTTGACATGATGTAGACTTTGTGGGGAATAACCACACTTTCGTGAATGCATCTATAACAGTGAGGACGTAATTATATTGCTTCTTCGTTTCTGTGAGCGGTCCGACGTGATCTAAATGCAATGTATCAAAAGGCACATTTTCTTTTTCTATAGGGTTTAAGAACCCTTCCTGTTTCCCCTCTTTCCTTGTAGCTAACAAACATGGTATACAACTTAACAGGTACTCAGCTATTTTTTTATCTGCGTCTCTAATGTAATAATCTCTGTTTAAAAGATCCTTCATCTTCCTCTTACCAAAGTGACCCACACTGTGTATATATCATATCATATCTGGGGTGAGGCTATCGACAAGCGAGGTGAGTCGTTGGCCTTTAGCCTTGACATTGCCAAGGCATTCGACAGGGTCTGGCACAAAAGTCTTCTCTCCAAGCTTCCGGCATACGGTTGGCCGGCCCAGTTCTGTTCTTTGTACTTCCTGCATGAGCATAGAATTCGTATCCTTAAGGATGGTAGCAGTTCGCGTATCATGTCAGTGAATGCCGGCGTTCCCCAGGGCTCCGTCCTGTCCCCCACTCTCTTTCTGCTGCATATCAATGACTTGGGAATATTCATTGCTATGCAGACGATAGTACAGTGCATGCGGGGTATCTCGGACAAGCAGCGGCTGGGCAGGCGGTAACCAAGGAGAAACGGGAGAATCTTGTCATTGAGCTCAATCAGGCTTTGGACCACATTTCTGAATGGGGTATCAAGAACTTGGTTGAGTTCAATGCTAAGAAAACCCTGGTCTGCGCTTTCACGGCAAAAACATCGCCATTCCTTTTATGTCCTTCTCTTCAGGGCACAAAACTAGAGCAGTATCACCATGCTCGGTATGGAGATTCGCTGTGACTTAAATCCAAAGAATTACATCGAAAGTGTGATAAAAACAGCCTCACGCAAACTCGGAGTCCTGAACAAGGGGCGGCGTTTTTTCACGCCCGAGCAACTGTGCTTGTTGTATAAGACGCAGGTGCGGTCTTGCGTGGAATATTGCTCGCACCTCTGGAATGGCTCCGCTAAGTACTTGCTCGATGCTTTGGATAGTTTACAGCGGCGCGAAATCCGCATCTTAGGCGATGAGGAGGTGACTAAACACCTTGAGCCTCTTCAATTACGCCGTGACGTGGCGTCACTAAGCGCGTTATATCGTCTGTACCACGGCGAGTGTTCTGAGGAGTTATTCTCTCTTATTCCACCTTCCCCTTTCCTTCAGAGGACCACGCGCGCTGGTTTACGTTGTCACCGTCTAACTTTGGCTACAATTCCAACGCGTACAAAGAAATTTGGTGACTCATTTCTTTGTCGTACTATCCGTAAATGGAATGCTCTGTCCACTCACGTGTTCCCTCCCTCTTACAACCTGGGATCCTTTAAAAGAGGCGTGAAGAAGCAACTTGCAGGCCGGCAGGGTGAGGATGGCTGGTGTGGCAGTTAGAACTGCTGTATCAGCTATCTTCGCGTCTGGACTTCACCTTCACTTAACATCAGGTGGGGTGGTGTCATTTGTCGGACCTATCTATATATAAAAAAACTGCTTTTTTGTTGTATATACATACATATCATCGGTAAATCACACTCTGACACAGAACAAATACTCGTGCTCATCACACAAATATTTGTACTAGGTAAAAAATAAATCTAATGAGATTTTGTAATAATTTATTAAACACCAGTATTTTTGATATCTAAAATAATTTCGATACTTATAATCGATTAAACAATGTTCTAGCATAAAATCGATTATAGCTTTAAATCGAACGAGTTATGTGATAGAGTGTCACTATTTTTGCTTCGATCGATCTGTCAAAAAGATAATAATATAATGGACAGACTATAACTACTAAATTATCCTCTAAAACATTCATTTTTAACAACTGAAATAACTTTAAGCAAATAACATTCACATCGGAACCTGTATCAACTAAAGAATTTACACAAAACGTATTAATTTTAATAAACTTAACCGGCTTTTTGTTTACGTTCATTTTGTTGACATTATTGGCGGATGTCATACAGTCATTCATTCATTCACGGTTCACTCGGTCGACGAGTCCATTCACGTGAAGTTTGCCAGCCGCCATTTGCCTCCGGTCTTCACTCCCGGTCTCGTTCTCGTTCCCTTCGGTCGATCCAGAAATGGCCGTCGCTGCCGCTGGTTGGTTGAATCTTCGTTCGTTCCCTTCGATCGATCCGAACATGGCCGTCGCCGCCGCTGGTTGGTTGAACCTTCGTTCGTTCCCGCTCTCGTTCACCGCCGTCGTCGTATGCACTAGCGCCGCCATCTTGTCGTGGTTATAAGTATTGTTACTCACGATGCCTTGTTTCACAGGATTTACGGTACAATCTCTTCGTATGTGACCAAACGCATTGCATGTCTGTCACTGTCTTGCATTTCACGCCTGTCTTGCATTCTGCCGCCACATGATCTTTGCTTCCGCAGTTGAAACATCTTTGCATGCTACCTGATTTTACGCGAGTTCGGTGCACATCGACACGGTGCGAATGTTCCTGTTGGTCCCGCTGCTGAACGCCTTTCTTGGACGACTTGCCCCTTATGGTCTCGTAAATCATGAGCTTTTCCTTCAGCATGCTTTAATTACTGACACCGTACAATACCGCTTTGTTCATTTCGTAGTCATCGATGCCGTCAATAATGTACTGTATCGCCACGTAATCG